CCCCAACAACCTCGTCCGCCTACTTGGCTTGTTTTCTTGACTGCCAAGCAGGTCTGCCCATCATGGTTCTCAAGGCCACCTCGATCCACACCAACTTCCTCTCCAACGGTGAGCAGTATGCCACCGACGATGCTGCCGCTGCCTCCACCTCGGCACAGCAGCCCGAATCTGCTGCTGCCGCGCCCGCACAGCGTCCCTCCCAGTCGCGCAAGAACAGCCTCTGGAGCCGCAAGAGCCGCGAACAGCCCCGCAAGGACGTCGAGGCTCCCCAAGGCGCCAAGGATGACAACATCATCCTCGTCGTCTGGGACGGCGACAACGATCCCGAGAACCCCATGAACTGGTCCATCGGCCGCAAGTGGCTCACCACCGCCCTCCTCTGCTCCATGTGCCTCTTCATCGGCCTCGCCACCGCCGCCTTCTCCACCGGCATCGGTCCCATGACCGAAGAGTTTGGCGTCTCTACCGAGGTCGGCCAGGTCGGCATGCTCCTCTTCAACGGTGCCTTCTCCATCGTTCCGCTCTTCCTCGGCCCCCTCTCCGAGTTCGTCGGCCGCAACCCCATCTACCTGGGCTGCTATGCGCTCTTCACCGTTTGGTTCATCCCTCTTGCCCTCGCCAAGAACATCCAGACCGTCCTGGTCGCTCGTTTCCTCAGCGGTGCCTTCGGTGCCGCCGGTACCACCATCATCCCCGGCACCCTCGCCGACATCTGGAAGACCAAGAACCGCGGTCTGCCCGTCGCGCTCTTCTCGCTCGTCGCCGTCGCCGGTACCGTCGGCGCACCCCTGTACTGCGGCTACATTCTGCAGGAGAAGGGCTGGCGCTGGATCCAGTGGGTTCAGCTCATTGTCAACGGTGCCGTCGTTCTGCTCGAGTTTGCTCTGCTCCGCGAAACGCGTGGATCGGTCATCCTCGCTCGTCGCGCCCAGAAGCTCCGCAAGGAGACCGGTGACCAGCGATACCGCGCTCCCTCGGAGCTCGAGGCTCCTTCGCTCAAGGCTTTGCTGCACGCCTCGACCACGCGTGCCGCTCTCCTGCTCGTGTCGGAACCGGTGGTGTTCTGCTTCTCGCTCTACATCGCCTACGCCTGGGCGCTCATCTTTGCCTTCTTCTCGGCCATCCCCATCGTCTTCCAGGAGATCCACGGATGGAGCGTCGGCAACGGAGGTCTCGCCTACATTGGCCCTCTCATCGCCTGCTTCCTCGCCTTTGGCCTCTCGTTCCACGGAAAGTACCTCTACGACCGCGCACAGACGCGCAACAACGGTGTCGCCGTCCCCGAGGCGCGTCTCTACTACGCTGCCGTGGGTGGCATCCTGGCCACCATCGGCATGTTCATCTTTGCCTTTACCTCGTACGAGCACGTCCACTGGATCGGCCCCGAGATTGCGCTCGTGCCGCTCGTCATGGGTATCTACTTTATCTTTGAGGCCATCCAGAACTACCTCGCCGACGCCTACGGCTCCGAGTACGGTGCCTCGGCCATCTCGGCGCAGGGCTTTGTGCGCAACGCTCTGGCCGCCTCGTTCCCGCTCTTCTCGACGCAGCTCTTCCACAACCTCACCGTGCCCTATGCCGGTCTCTTGCTCGCGTGCCTGCTGGCGCTCGCCGTACCGCTGCCGTTTGTGCTCATCAAGTACGGCGCCAAGATCCGCGCGCGCTCCAAGTACGCCGCCTCTGACGACACTGAGGATGGCGGTCCCGTCATTGGCGCCCGCCGCGGCGATGTGGAGAGCAAGGCCATGACCAGCTCGACCAACTCGGAAGACACCACGCGTGCCCCCACTCCGACCCACGGTATGGACGACAGCGCGAAGAAGCTCGACGAAAAGAGCGACGCCAAGCAGTCGGCGTGAGCTGGCTGGTCTCGGTGTAGTGTGGATGTTCCGAAGCACTGTCGATCGCTGCACCAATTTTATAGCGCTCCATCATAATCTTAAGATACCTTGCATGTAATGGTCCGTGTGCGCGAGTGAGAGTTCGGATGGCGACAAGGGCGGTCGACGGCTGGACTGAGTCGTGAAGTCGTGCTGCGGGTGGTCGAGAGCAGATTGACACGAGGTGCTCGCAGTGACAGGAGCGACAATGAGAGTGGTTGGGAAAGATGGGGGATTTCGACTTTGTACGCACTAGCATCGTCGGAAGCAGTACGCTGTGCGAAATTCGAGCGGCTCGCAGTGACAGGAGCGACTTCGGGTGTGCTCGGCAAAGGAGGTTCGCCTCCGTGTGCGTCTGTGTGCGTCTTTGTGGTCTTAATCCAGAAGCCAGAGCGGGGTGCACTTGCAACGAATGAACCTCACTCCAATCCAGCGATGCAAGTCGACACAATCAGTCGGCACGTCTGCACGCACTGGATCGACCAACAGCACTTTGTGAGAATCGACTATTCAAGCTCTGTATGCGGCAGCGTGGACGGTAAGACGTCGGCCCTCGATGGAGGGCTTTGCTACAAGCAGGCATGTGGGGCCGGCGTGTTTTGACGATCCCTTGCGCTCTTGTCTTGTGGCTTTGCGCACCGAGGTTGAGACCGCCATGCAACGCGAACCAGACCGCTGTAGGCCAAACGCCGTCTTTTCGCGTTGCCTTGGGCGCATTTCAACGAGCGCCAAAGCCTGGCTTGCCGCCTGCGGCCAGCGATTCGATCAGATACAAGACGAGTTGAGCGCCTCGAGGCACACTCGAAAGCAGCTAGGCTTCGTCACTCTAGCATCTCGGCGATACATGACTGTGCGCAGCGAAAAGCTAAAAGAGGTCCGGATCTTTGCGGCCGCGCTCGTACGCTAGGGCTCTGTCCGCACTGTGTCCTTGCGCACGCCGACTTTGGACGGGCATCCAACCTCAATGTCAGACTGTCGCTGCACTCTGCACCACGAATCGATTCTCTGGGTCAAAGCATTGCACAGCAATGACGTGCTCGACTTCAGTTCGCACACCGCATCCTTCGTATCCGTCGCCAGATCCAAACACAAGCTCCACAACGCACACAATCTCTGCCACAGCCAGACCGATGGGAGAGACGAATAGACATTGCAAATTGCGTTGGAGACTACTTGATGCGCCAGGTGAACAAGAACCCAGTAAACGCAGCGAGACCGACAAACCAGAATCCTAAATGATAGTTCCACGGCCAACTCTTTGCATCCGGCCCACCTTCGATACCCTTTGCCCAAACCAAGCCTCCCACAATCGGTCCGACGAACCTTGCGGCCGAGCTTGTAGTCTGTGCGAGACCGTTGGCAAGCGGGGTGAGGTGGGGTGGTGTCATAGCGTTGATGAGGACACTGACTGCGGTGAAGGCACACACGTTGGCCAACCACCTCATAGCAGCAAAAACGATCATGCCCGTCATGACAAACCCGTCGGTTTCGGGATGCAACATCCCCCGCAATAAGGGGAAGAGCGTATAACACGGCAGATAAATCGCCGTACCCAATCGCAACATCGCCAGATGCGAAAACTTGCCCTGAGGAGGACCCACTTTGGGGTAGAAGACAAACTGAAAGATCAGCTGACAAAACGCCATGGCCGAAATCAGTTGTGCATAGTGCGATGCTGTCAATCCCAACCCCCCGGAAGGCTCGGGCGTCACCAAAAACGCCATAAACACCTGGTCGAACGTCGATGAGTGGAAAGCCATCAATCCGTAGTGCGCAATAATGGCAGCAGGAAGCAAGGTGAAAAGCGAGGTTGGGGGTGCTTCCAAGACGACACTGCGTCGATCGGGCGATGCGGATGTCGAACCCCCGCGTCGCTGCGATGGAACCATGAGACTGTTGCGGTTCGACTGGCTTTCGGGAATACCTGCCAGCGTAGGATCCCACGCACTATCCGCACGTGCCTGCACCGCACCCAAAGGCCCCGGTCCAGCTTCATTGGCGGGTGACATGGGATTGTACGCCGGCGACAGCACGGGACTCTCGATGCCCGTATTTGCGTACAGGCTCGGCACGCGCGCGGTGGCACTGCTCCTGCGCATCGAGCGCGGCCTCGACCCCGCGGACCTACCGGCATCCGAATACCCAGCGCGACTCAGCTTGCGCTGCGCAAAGTTGAGCGGCGCCAGATGCGTGGGCGCCAACAACGCCGATCCCTCATCCGGCTCGTTGTCAAAGTCGTCTTCGTCCTCCTCGTCGATCGACTGCTCTGCCAACTCGGCGACCGAGTCGTTGAACACGCTGCCATCGTCGAACGACTCGTCGTCTTCGTCGTCGTCAAACACGTCCTCGTACGCATCGTCGCCATTGATGGCAGCGGCGACCCAGAGGTCCGAGATGGTGAAGACCGAGTCGTCCTGTGCGAGCAGGAAGCGCTGTGCAAAGCTGAGCCCGGGCCGCTGGCCGATCTCTTCAAAGTCCGGTGCGTACTGGGTGGTGGAGGAGAAGGAGTTGCGGCCTGCGGTGCGGCTGTGTGCGAACGACTCTGTGCGTGCGCCGGCGGTGGCGGTGGGGGCGGGTGCGGCCGAGGAGCGCGACATGTGTCGATCGTATCCATATGCAGAGCCGCCCCCGAGGATGGCGCGCTGACGCTCCTCTGTGCGCGAGAAGAGACGCTGTCTTGGGGGCAAGTCGGCGCGGGAGAAGGCCGAGTCGTTGGGGGCGGTATTGTTGTGCGTGATGACGGTGCCCTCGGTGGGCGCGGGCGAGGGCGGACCGCCAGTCTCGTAGTCGACCTGCTGGGTAAAAGTACGCGGGAGCTGTTTGGGCGCGCCAGTGTGTTCGGGAGTGGAGGTGCCACTGGTGGGACGAGAGTGCTGGTCGTTGGTAAAGTGACGCGAGAGGCTGAGACTGGACCCGGCGGCGCTGCGTGCGCCGCCAAAGTAGCCGCTGATGCGCTGACCTGCGTTGCGGCCGAAGCTGCCTACGTGTGTGGCGGCGCGTTCGATGTCGCCCTTTTCGGGCAGCTGGATGGCACCGGTGCGGGGCCCGCCGTCGTGGCCGATGAAGAGGGTGAGAAAGGAGCCGACGGCGGTGAAGGTGGCTGCGACGAGGCAGGGGAGGAGGTAAGGGTAGTTTGTGAAGAGCTGGCTGTTGGCAAAGAGGCCGGGGAACTTTTGTACGGGATGTTCGAGGAGGCCGCCGAGGATGGGGCCGATGATACCGCCCATGCCCCAGCAGAAGCCCATGAGTGCGTAGGCGCGGCCTTCGTTTGTGTCGTCGGTGATGTCGCGGATGGCGCCCTTTGCGACGCCGACGGCGCCGTTGAAGAAGCCCTGAGCGAGACGGATGAAGATGGCGGAGCCGAGGTTCTGGGAGGTGCCGAAGAGCATCATGGTGAGCGCGTTGCCGAGGAGGGAGATGGCGAGGACGAAGCGGCGGCCGCGTTTGTCGGCGACGGAGGCCCACATGAGCGAGGTGAGGAACTGGGCGAAGAAGAAGCTGGCCGAGACGATGCCTGCCCAGAAGCCGACGTCGCTCTCGCCGCCGACGCCAAAGTCCTCGATCATAAAGAAGAGGAAGGGACCTGCGACACCTGCGGAGCTGAATTCGCCAAAGCAGACGAGGCAGAGGACGATGAAGGGAAGAGCGGGGATGGGCGTGGAAAAGGGGTCGGCCTTTGCGCTGGGAAGCATGCGTGGGATGGAGGGCGTCTCTGCGGCGGCGATGAGCGCGTCGATGTCGATGGTGCCGTCGTCGTTGTCATTGTCGCGGATGCCGGCGGGTGGGACGCCAGTGGTGTGTACACGGCGCAGATTTCTGGCGTTGGGAGCGTCGCTACCTGCGGTGGAGAGCTTTCTGGGGAATACGCCCATCGAGGCACGCTGGAGAAAGTTCTGCCTTTGGCCTACGCTGGGAGCGCGTCGCTTGAAGGACATCCTGCGCGGATTTGAGGTAGCTCGCGAGCCGGCGATGCTAGGGCTCATGGTGGGAGCGTTGGAGCGGGCGGCAGCGTCTGTGTCTGCGCGGGTATCGGTGTAAGGCGAGGGTGGGAGGTTGATTGTGCCTGGACCAGAGGCACGATAGCCGGCTCTGGGGGTGGACTGGCTCGCAGCATTGCGATCGAGGGAACCGTAGTCGTTGGCCATGTCGCCGTTGTTGTTTGCAGGCGAGCGAGGCCGCAGCAACGGATCGGGAGAGGGTTGTCGCGAGGGAGTGGAGGATGCCGAGGAGCGGTGATGATTGGGAGCGAGGGTGTTGTTGTTGGGAGCGGGATGGAGCTCGTCGACGAACTGGATTGCGCGCGGACTGAGGGGCGGAAGGTGGGATGACGATGATATAGGCGAGTGTGGGGGCGAAGGGTTTGGCATGGTTGCGCCCCTGAGGATGTGCGTGTGCGTGTGCGTGTGCGTGCGCGGGAGTGTATGTTAATGCATTCGAATGCGCCGCGCGCGCCAGGCTTTGGATGTGCAGCCTAGCTCATCCGACGAGATGAGGTGCAGATGGTGGAGAGAGGGGGAGGGAGTGTGCGGGCGCTAAGGGATCAGGGTTGGTCGAAGGGCGGCGGCTCAGTTAAGCGATCTGTGCGGATTGGCCGCGTGCAGTGCAGGCGCAGTGCAGTGCAGCAGTCTTGAATTCCAACACTTTTTGGGGCGGCGACACGCGCCACGCCAGCAAGGCGGCTATCTATTCGCTCTAACACTCGAAAGAACTTTTGTAATCGATGTTAGATCATCGAGCAGAGGAACGCAAAGTCGCGTCTCGTCTTTCGAGACGTGTCGTTGGAATTGCATTGCATGTGGAGCTGAGCCGATGTGCCACAGTGACTGGCTGCTGCTGAGCCCGACGCGAATCCAAGAGCGCAACGCATCGCATCTTTACGCGCTCGACGGTCGGATTCTTTGGAATTTTGGGCTTTCGTGTCGCTCTGAGCCAAAGCCAAAAGAGTAGAGGTTGGAGCGCGCGCTTCAGTCGAGTCGCGTTGCCATCCCTCCATCCCTCCATCCCCACCAACCATCGATCAACATCCTCGTCATCCATCAACACCCTCATCACTCCACCCTTCAGCACCCATTCAACACCGCATCGACCGCAAATTGTCTCCGATTCGCCCGCCGTCTTGCTTTGGCTCCCCTCGCCACCTCCATCTGCCAATGACACGCTAGCCAACCTCGCCCTGTTCATCGCCATCACACCCATCTCGACCACATCCGGCCCGTCGGCCACCATCGCGGCCACATGTCGAGCCACGCGCCCAGGATGGACGGTAAGTACATCATCCACCTAGCACCCGCTCGACGATCATTCTGCTGACCCTTCCTTCAATCCACAGTCAAGGTCCTCTACACGCTCGACTCGAGCCCCTCCCACACCATGGTCGCCCGCCTCGGCAGACCCATCCCCGTCGACGTCATCATTCCCAACATCACTCCGCCTTCGCCTCTRGTCGCTTCGTCCTCCTCCTCCGCCTACCACGCCACAACTCCACCACGTCACGTCCGCTTCGGCCGCGTCGCTCTCAAAGCCTGCCTCGGCGCCGTATGCATGGCCAGCCCAGAGCTCCTCCCAGATGGCAAGAGGGACTACATCATCTATGCCGTCGATCCAGAGGAATCCCTGCGTGCAAACCAGCTCCGATCGCCATCCGCCTCCTCGCCCTCGCGCTCCGCCTCGTCCACCTCGCTCCGCGACCGCGCAGAGCCAGGCTCCACCAAGCTTCCCGCCAGCCCGCCCCGTGCCAAGGACGCTCCCACATCCATCCTCGTCGGAAAGGGCTTCTTCAACTGGGCGCTCCAAGAGTACGGCGACGGCGAAACCACCGTCACAGGACGCGTCCGCTCCGACGGCAGGCGCCTTCGCTACGACAACGGTCGCGAGTACGAAGAGGACATCAACGTGCTCGAAGTCGTCATCAAACTCAAAGAGTCCCAGGCACGCAACAAGGACAAGTACTTCAACCTCGTCCGCGGCCTCTCCTCGGCGTCCACATCCAGCTTCAGTGCGGCCTCCGATTCGCGCGCGCCATCCTCATCGCGCACAGCCGACATCGAGCCCCCTTCGCCTACACACCGCTTCCGCTCGCGCCACTCCCACCGCGATCAACACTTGACGCTCCACTCCGAGCCCGACTATCCAACATCCGCAGACAGTCCCGTCGACACGCACCCTCGCAGGTCGCTCGCGCGCTCCGTGCATCGCCACGCGCCCCCCACAGCAGACGCACAGCCCCAGCGCGACCTCTCGCCAAAGACGACAACGCAGCAGCTCGGCCCCGCACCTGGCCTGCCTCTGCATCCCACCTTGGCTGCATCCTCGTCCGCTTCCACTCAACAGCCTCAATCCGCCACATCTCCATCCGCAGTCTCGTCCGCAGCCGCTGCCAACCCGTCCACACTTCAGCTCCTCACCATCCTTCACAGCCTCCAGCAGCGTTCCTCCAAATCAGCTCCAGAACCCGCCCAGCAGGCTCAACTCGAAAACCTGCTCCAACAGGTCGCCCAGGTCTTTGGCACAGCCTCTCCCGCCTCGCCCTCCGAAGCCCCGCTCTCCTCGCCTGCACTCCGTCCTCTCGAACCCATCCCCGTGCCTAACGCACGCTCACCAGCGCCACACCCAGCCTCCGACGCCTCCACCGCCACAGCACCAGCACCAGCAACCGTCCAATCGGGCAAGGAGAATCGCAGAGTCAGTCTACCGGCACAAGCGGCCACTAAGGACTCGCCTCAGGTCGGCTTCTCCGAGCACAACTCGCGCCGCCCATCCGCATCGTCGCCGGCATTGGACCACGACGACGCCGCTCCCAGCCCCTCGATCCAGCGGAAGGACCACGAGTCCACCAATCGCATCTGCTACAATTGCGGCACCAACGTACCCACCACCTGGCGCATCCTCAAGCTCCCCGCAGGCAGCATCATCAACAACCCCGCCGCAGAGAAGCCAGCCGCCACATCCACCGATGCCAGCGCCGATGACGCCGACTCGGGCTGGAAGCCGCGCTTCGACGCCACCCAGAGCCCCGTCCACGCCGACGGCGAATCGCGCTGGTCCGCGTGCAACCCTTGCGGCCTCTACTATCTCAAGTGGAACAACTCGCGTCCCGAGTACGTCTGGAAGAAGGAGCACGCCACCAAGGCCTACCGCGAGCGCAAGGCGCTCGCCGACGCCGCAAAGAGGCGACGCGACACCGTCGAGGCCGGCTCGAGCAAGCGCGCACGCATCGCCAATTCGGACGTGGATGCCGCGTCTCCCTACAGCGCTGCTGCCACGCCCCATGGCTCCAACAAGCCCAATGGAGACGCTGAGGCGCGCGACGAGTCCACCTCGCCCAACTACGACGCATCCACGCCCGCATCCAGCTCGGGTCGCAAGGCCAGCATGCCGCGCACGCTCAGCGAGGCATGCCATCGCGACGCAGAGAAGCTCGAGTCGCAGCGCACCACCAAGAAGAAGGAAAAGGAAAAGCCGCTCTGCAAGAAGCAGGCCGACCGCGAGTACGTCCTCGACCACAACACGGGCAAGTGGCGCAGCAGGAGGAGCATGCGCGAGAACCCAGAGGGCAAGCGTCCCGGTCGACCCAAAGGCTCAGTCAAAGTGCCTCAGAACGCCACCAAGCCTGGCGGTGACGACTCGTCGCCTCCCACCACCACCAAGGACGAAGCCCAGATGCAGCCCCTGGGCGCATCGGCCAAGCAAGCCGACGCCGGCAGCAGCAGCAGCAGCGATGCGAGCGGGTCCAAGCCGAGCGGGTCGGCCAACAAGGCACAGTCGAATCTGGCAGCAGGGCAGCGCGAGGTCGACTTTAGGCTGCCCGCACCACCTCAGCCCATGGCGCCGCAGCTGGCGCGCCAGGCGTCTGCGTCGCGCATGGTCAACTTTGCGCAGTCGAGTCCGGTGCGCCCGTCGATGAACGCGAGCCTGATGCAGCCCGAGGCGGTGAATGCGCTGCACCGATTCGGCGCGCACATGCTCGAGAGTCCGTCGCGCGACGTGCGGTTCCGCGTGCCGAGCTATCTGATGAACTCGAGCCCGGGCACCATGCTCGACACGCTCATGAGCGAGGCCGACTTTGACTTTGAGGAGCTCGGTCCGTTGGGACCGCTGCAGACGCCGGGGACGCTGCTGGGCAACATGCGTGATGCCGGCACGCCGCTGCGCCTGCGCCGCAGCCCGCGCAAGAATCCGCACGGCACCATCTCGGGGCAGAACCCCTATGCGTCACCGACCGCCAAGCGCGGCAGCCCGTCGTTCGGCAGGGAGCGCAGAGCGCAGGTGCCCGAATCGCCGAGTCGCAGGTCGGTGGTGGCCTCGAGCAGTGCCAGTCCGGTGACGAGGAGTAGGACGCGTTCGGGTCAGGGCGTGCTGCATCCGGCGCTGTACTCGAGCAGCGACGGCGCGGAGAACGCGCATGCCAAGAGCAGCAGCAACGTCACTTCGCCCGCTTCGCCCTCGGAGGCCGCCGGCAAGGGCAAGGGCAAGGCGGCGTCGTCGCTGCAGGCTACGGGCAAGACGCAGCTGGCGTCCAAGCAGGCGCAGGTCGAGGCGAGTGCGCGCGCAGCCTCGCGCCGCCGCCGTGCCGATGCGGACGACCAAGACGACGACGCGCCCGAGACGCAATTCGTCAAGGGCCCCTACCGTAGTGCGAGCCGCGAGGGGTCGGCTGGTTTGCCGTCGTGCCCTGCGTCGCCGAGCCTCGGACGGGCGAACCGCAAGCTGGGTCGACACCTCAGCAGCGTCAGTGCGCACTCGCCGCAGTCCGGTGCCGCTACGCTCGCCAGGCTCGATCTGCCGCCGAGCAGCCCAGCGTTCGACCCTCCCACGGGGCGCAGTTCGGGCTCGATTGAGGTGGATGGTTGGGGCCGCACGCCGAGCATGCGCGAGATCTTCCCCACGCCGAGCGATCTCGACTGGCCCAGCGACGCGTCGCCCGCCCCACAAGGCGATGCCGCCACAGCGCCCTCGGTGCAGCCCGAGAGCGACAAGCAGCTGGTGGTCAAGCCTTCCACTGCTGTGGTTCGCCGCCGACCGTTACCGGCGACGGTGGAGGATGGGAGCTCGTCGGTGTCGGGTTCGTCGCCCGCGCATTCGGACGACTCGCCCGAGGGCAGCACCAACATGTTTGACCTGCTCGAGGATCCGTATGGCATCCTGGCTGCTTCTGGCTTTGGCATCGACGCCGACGGTGCGCTCACGAGCCTCGAGATTCCCGTGCCTGCACAGCAGCAGATGACGCCCACATCGTCGGCTGCGGCGAGTGGCACGGCACCTTCGATTTCCGCCGACAAGTTCAACGATGTCTCGCTGCACCCGGCGCAGGAGTTTGGCGCGCATCTGAGCGAGTTCAACTCGAGCGGGGGCGTGGGTGTGGCTGCGCACGTGGCGGGCACGGGTACAGCGGCAGCCGTGCAGATCGCCAACCCCTCGGATGCCAGTGTCAACTCGCTCGCGGGTGTGGATGCTGGATTCCTGGCCACGTTGCCGCGCGAGTTGAGCGCGATTCTCACGTCGCCCAAGAAGAACATCCCGCCCAAGATCATCGAGCTCCTCGCGAGTCCGTCCAAGGCCAAGCCTTTTGCCGACCCGCCCTCGCCCGGGCTGGAGCGCGTGCAAGGCGAGACGCACGACTTTTCCGCCCTCTTTGCGAATCCCGACATCCAGGCTTTGCTGGCCGAGTTCGAGTCCATGCCCTAGCCTCCTTCTCAATTGCAGCTCTTTCGTCGCAATGCAGGCACTTTGGTTGCTGGAGAAAATGGTGTGTGAAATTGCGAGTGCGGTGTTATGCTGGTTTGGAGATGCTCGCTCTGAGCGCATGCATAGACGCCAACGACGGCGGCGAGACAGCTGCACTGGTCGCACTCGTGTCCACCTGGGGTGGCAGGACTGTGCTACTGACCAACTTTGCCCATCTTTCGTCGGTGCGCTTGCTTGAGGGTTGGTGCGGCACTTCGACGCCGTTGGGTTGGCAATTGACATCGTCCACCTCGCCACCAGCTTGGGGACGGCGTGGGAAGAGTGCAAAGCTCCACGAATCCACGCTTTTGCGTCTCTCGTCTCGGTCCTTGAGCTGGGGTGATCCAACCACCCTAACCTGAACACCCGTGCTACCGCTACTTCCCGAGCGCTCCAAGCGCGCACTCACACTACCGCGTTTGATGGTCCGAACGATCTGAGGACGAATCTGCACTTCCGCCCCACTGCTCGACGACAGTGTGCGCTCCCGCCCACCTCGACCGAGTTCCAGCGATTCATCGTCTTCGAGCGAGAATACCGATGCGGGTCGACCAAGTATTCGACTATTGCGTCGAGAAGCTGGCCATCCAGGCATCTTGAACTCCTCCTCGTCTTCTGGGGGATAGGGTGATCGCGGAGAGGGTGGTGGTGAAGCTACGGACCCCGAAGGACCGGATGGTGAACGAGCCATACCTGCTCCCACCATCAGAGTTGAAGCCTGCGATCGGGACGACAACGAGCGCAACAGCGCATCTCCCGTGTTGGAGGTGGATTTGCGTACCGACTCGGTGCCTGCACTGGAGCGTCGTCGAACAAGCCGGAAGGGATCGGTGCGCAGGTATGCTACGACGGCATCGCACGTGACGAGTGCCCATTGCAGTGCCGGGGCGGTGGCGGTATCGGTAAGCGTAAAGGCGCGCGCGTAGTAGAGCATGCTACACAATCGCGACGGACGCGCGCGCACAAACACATAGCTCAGGATGGGCAGCAAATCGTCCGTCCCCAACGGCGGTGCATCACCGCGGGATGAGGCACGTTCGGCCGCCCATCCGACCTCGTCAATCACCGCACGCAGAGTCTGGAGGATCTGCAACGGCGTACGTCGATGCAACGAAACCCCCTGCGTTGCCGCAATCCCAAGATCACTGTGTATCCGCACCGTCGGTGCACCCTGCACCGCCAACGCACGCAGTGCATCGACATCCGCCGTAGCCACTGCATCGTCCACCTCGCACCCTCCATCGTCGGCCAACCCCGTCGCGAGCACCTCCACCGCACGCGTGAGACGATCAGCCCTACAACGCAGCGCAGCGTTCTGCACGCCCAAATCCGCCATGCTCAGATTGGCTGCCGCACACGCGGCGAGCACATCATCCGTGACCAAATCCGCATCCAGCAGCTGATCCTGTATGGGTCCGTACATCTTGGTGTGCACAAGACCCATGGTGACGCTTTCGAGCACCGACTTGATGCGGTGAAACGGCTCCACCCCCAACCTCGCCACATGCTCACTGCCAAGCCGCTCCTCGAACGCCTTCCATGCCTTGAACCAGATGCCGCGCCGGATGCGGTGCGCGTTGTAGCTGTCGAAGCCGCGCACGTAGACGAACGACGCGGTGAACTGGTGTGCGGCTGCAACTAGCACGCTGAATGCCGCGGAGAGCGCAGCGTCGAGCCGCACCGACGACGTGCGCGGATGCGCGAGCAGCACCAGGTCGGCTGCAAACACGCGCTCCGCCGCAACGTGCCGCAGGATGAGCTCCGACACACTCTGGTCCGCCTCGTCCGGCTGCTCGTCCGGTTGAACTGGGGCAGCGTTGGTGGCAGGCTGGCGATGGACGACGGGCAAATCGACCGAAAAGACACGCACCTTGGCGGTGGGTGTGGAGCGATAGATGGTCGTTTCGCCCAGGATGGCGACGGTGCGCGTGGCTGCGGCGGGCGACTCGACGATGGTGATGGATTGCCGATCCGCATCGAGCGTGGCAGTAAGCGTCGTACTACTCCAATCGTACTGTCCTGCAACCTGGTGGGTAGCGGATGATCGCACGGAGCGGACCGAGACAAACTGATGCTTGTACAGCTTGGACGGCGCGAAAGCATGCAGAGCTATGTAGGCCGGGTCATCCAGATCCTGTGGCTGAATGGCGCTATGCGCCGCAATCGCCCTAGCGAGCGGCACCACCGCTACCTGCGCTGCGCTCCAGTCCGCGTGCAATTCCTCATGCTCCGACAAGCGCAGGTACAGCGGGTTGGTATCGAGGTCGTCATCGTCGTCTACCACTGGCGCGGGGCTTGGCGGTGTAGGTATGCTTGCCGTATCCTCCGCCTGCGACTCGGGCGGGAGCGTTACATCGTACGCGCTGAACGAGCGCGGCAATGCAGGGCGGGCATGCACCGGCTCGAGCGCGAGCGACTTGCGCCTGAGCGTCGCATCGGTGATGGGCGGCGAGACGTGCCGGTTCAGATGGTGTACCGTGAGCGAGCTCGACGACGGCAGTGCGGGGAAGGTGGCGTCGGTGGCGGAGGCGGATTCTTCGGGGATCGAGTGGCGCAGATCGAAGGTGGACGAGGTGGGGAAGCGCGTGCGGCTTGCATCGTGACGGCGCGCGTTGGTGCTGGTGCTGTGAGTGCTGGTGTTGGTGTTGTTGTTGTTGTTCTTGCGATGGGATGGCAAGAAGAGCCGTGTGAATGCGCTGGCCATGGTTGCAAGCACGCTCGGGGGTGGGGGTATAACAGATCAAGGCGGGATGGAGAGATGAGGCGACGACATGGCCGTGGCGCGACTGCGGCGTGCGCAGCGGCGGTGGTGGTCGTGATGGTGATGGTGATGATGAAGGACGATGAGGAGGAGGCCCATGTGTGCGGTGTTGGTCTCTCGCTACACTGCTCTACTGCCTCCATTCGCTCCCCTGCTGCTGCTCAGCTGTTGGACCCTTTATATAAATAATTTCCGCCGAAAAATAAGAAATAAAAATTGATTTTTCGAAAATGTGGAGAAAAAGAAGGGGAAAAAAATCGCCGAGGAGAAGGAGTGGTTTAGCTTTCCACCACCATCTCAGCCACCCCCCTCTCGCCGTGATGACTACCTCCCCAACCCGCAAGACCGATACGGACGTCAAGGCGTGGCTGCGAGTGGCGCCGCTCGAGAAGCTGGCGGCGTCGTCGCGACACCACCTTACTCTGCGCCATCCGCACACGCAAGAGTACCACTCGCTGCTCATCTTTTCATTTCCCAGCGCCACCTCGTCATCCACACCGCAGCCCCACCACGACGCCTTCTACTGCATGGAGGCCACGTGTCCGCATCTAGGCGCACCGCTAGAGAACGCCACAATCGAAGTCAATGATCTGGAAGAGGAGCAAGAGGGCGACATCGAGGACATGGTGGTGGTGTGTCCGTGGCACGAGTACGACTTTAGCCTCTCCACGGGCGAATCCTCGCACGGCGTCTCGGCTTGCGTGTACAAGTGCCAGGTGCGCGAACAGACCTTGTGGATCGAGGCACCCCAGCCGTGTTCGAACGAGGCAGCCGCAGCCGCAGATCCAAAGCAATGGGAGACCATCGAGCTGCGTCCGGTCAGCGAGGCGTCACCCGGCGTAGCCTCGCGCCATGATGCGGCGCAATCACTCCACCTCGAAGCCGCACAGCTTTCTCTCTCTTCACCCACGCCACAGCCAGAGTCGGCTGCTCAGATCGAGACCGAGGTGGCGCCGCCGTCGCCGCGGCCCAAGACGCTGGTGGAGTGGGCGGTGCTGGTGCTCAACACGCCCGAGCCTGCCAAGAAGGTGGCCTACACGCGATTCGCAGCCAAGGCATTCCGTTCGGGCGAGTGCAAGCTGATCGGCGGGGGACGGTGGAAGACGAGCGACGAGGTGGCGGGCACACGCACCGAGTGGATGGTCAAACCGCAAGAGACGCCGCCCGAGCGTCCACCGCGGCTCAAGGACGAGGTGTGCGTGCGTCCAGGCCAGGAAGCCAAGCGCGGCCGCGGCGGCACGGAAAAGAGCCGCATCGCCATCCTGCATTCGCTGGCCAACATCGAGCAGTGGGCCATCGACCTGGCGTGGGACATTATCGCACGCGCACCGCAGCTCTGTGCGCGCTTCTTCAGCGAGCACGACGACGAGGCGGGCGAAACACCCAACGCCAAGCTGCCGCTCCAGTTCTTTAGCGATTTCGTCAAGGTGGCCGAGGACGAGGCCAAGCACTTTTCGCTGCTCGTCGAGCGGCTCGGCGAGATGGGCAGCTACTTTGGAGCGCTCCCCGTGCACCACGGCCTGTGGGACTCGGCCATGGAGACGGCACACTCGCTCACCGCGCGTCTCTCCATCATCCACCTCGTCCACGAGGCACGCGGCCTCGACGTCAACCCCACCACCATCAAAAAGTTCGACAACGCAGGCGACGAAAAGAGCGTCAAGACGCTCACCGTCATCCATCTCGACGAGATCACGCACGTCTCGGCGGGGCATCGATGGCTCACCTGGCTATGCGCACATGCCCACCCGGCCATGGATCCCGTCCAGGTCTTCCGCGACGAGGTGCGCCGCAACTTTATCGGCCGCCTCAAGGGTCCCTTCAACGCCGACGACCGGCGCAAGGCAGGCTTGGACAAAGAATGGTACGATGATCTAGTGGGCGAGAAGCCGGGCACGTTCAGCATGGGCGTCAGGCGCAACGAGGTTCCTGGTGGTTGAGCCAAGAAGCATGGCATCGCATCGCCTTACTTAAACACGAATGGCCATCGTTGGAAATTCTGCTGAATGTCAGATCGCGCGATGAGAGAGAGAGAGGGAGAGAGAGAGAGAGCGAGAGACTGCTAAAGTGCCGCGTTGCCAAATGGGCTGATGGCGGCCCCGTCTGGACTCGGGCCGAGCGACACTGCTGCAGTGCCTGATTTCACTGAAAAGCGCGGGGAAGGCGCAGCAGCCGCAATCGATCCTACGCCATCCCCTCGCCAGGGCTTCTCCCTATCTATCTCGACTCCACTCCACCATCCCATCCCCACCGTTGATCCACTGGGCACCATGTCCACGCTGCTCTCTTTCGCCCGTGCTGGACCCGCACATCGCGCTCCTCCACGCGATGAGGAGGCCAACGTCGCCGTCGCCGTCGATGGCGCTCCCTCCACCTCCTCCTCGTCTCGCTGGTCGCGCCCCTTTGCCCGCGCCTCCAACTGGGGTAGCAACGTCGAGATGAGACCGCATCCGGCTCCTGAACCCGCTCGCAACTCCGATCTCGAACAAGCCACCCCCGCCGCTGGTGGCCGTCACGAGCGCACCGCCTCCGCCCTCTCTTTCCTGTCGGCCGTCCATGTGCCTTCGCTCTCCACCCTCCGTCAGCGCGACCGCGACAACGAGCGTCGCAGGCAGAACCAGCGCGCCAACAACCCGGATCAGCCCGTCGTCTCCGCCCTCGCCACCGTCACCACCGCCCCACCCGCTTCCCGCGCCGCCAACAAGAAGTCCAGAAGCAGCAGGCGCGAACGCGAGGAGGCCGCCACCCTCTTCGGACCCAACCTCGCAAACTACTTTGGCAGCGGCATCAGCAGCTCCGGCGCCGTATCCAGCCACGGTGCGGGTGTTCCTCAACCGCCTCCCGTCACAAGCCCCGTCTCACCCACCGCCGCTCCAGATTCGGCCGTCGATCCCACGACTAACAACACCGCCGCCGCCGCCACAGCCGATGCGACCTACCCGCAAGCTTCGTCTTCGCGCCGCGTACGTCTCGGCTCGCGCGGTCGTGCCAGAGGTGCCTCGCTCTCTGGTCTCAGCATGATGTCCCTCGGCGCCGAGTCAGTCACCTCGCTCGGCGACCTCAACGTAGACCGCTCCAACGATGCACCCGCACAGGCACACGGCATGATCCAAGGCTCCACCGCCGACCTCATCGACCAGCTCAACCGCGACGCAGGCCCCAACACCACCGACGGCCACATCGCCATGAGCGAGGGCGTCGACATCACCACTCTCCAGCGTTGGATCCACCGCAGCACCGGCAACTCCGATGCCGCAATCCCCACCGCCGCCGCCGCTGCAGCCACGTATGGCCCTCCCGTATGCACCACACTCCAATCGTTTGTCAACCTCAAGCGCAACACGCTCAAGCTCTCACCCAAGACCAATGTCGATGCTGCCAAGCCCGCCGAAGCCGACGCCAACTTCCTGCGCACGCGTCCGTCGCTCTCGCTGCTCCCCACGCTCTCCTACGCCTCCACCGGCGCCGCGTCCACCGCAACCAGCCTGCTGCCCGAGCCCACGCACTCGCTCTACTTTGAGTACGACTGCGCCGCGCCGTACGCCAGCGTCCAGATCTTCATCCGCGCAAGCCGCAAGCACGGCAGCTGGCTCAACTACCAGCCTGCCTCCAGCAATACCGGTGACCCGCTCGCGCAACCGACCAATCCGGACGGCAGCCCGGCGTGGCTGGCGCAGTGCGCGCCGCCGCCCCATGTGCTCGGCTGGCCCGTGCATGTCGCCAAGCTCGCCAAGGGCTTTGGTGTGGGCCATACCGCCACCATCCCGCTCGACCTCGCCTACTATGCGCCGCCACGACGCGCCAAGCTCGACGCCAACACGGCCGGCGCCAGTGGGGGTGCGGCTGCGGGCGAGACGGGCGAGCCGATCGCTGCGCACCCGCGCATCGCCTCGACAGTGGAGCCCGTGACGCCAGCTGCGATCCCGGAGACGCCCGGGTTCGAGTTCCAGCGTCGGCTTGAGCTCGATGCGGACGATGCGGACGACGATCCTCCCGCACGCCACGCACGTGCTGGCTCCAGCCGTGTGCCCGGTGCTGTTGTCGACTCGGGCGCGGGCGCGGGCGAGGCTTCGTCGGGTGCGGTTGCGCTTTCCGCCGAGGTGGCTGCACAGCCTGCAGTGGAGGAGGAGACCAAGGAGCAGCGACTTGCGCGCGAGAAAGCCGAACGCGAGACGCTCAAGCTCGCCATCGTCGTCGAGGCGCTCGACGAGCATGCACGTCCCCTTCGCGAGCCCAACCTGCAGACCTCCTACCTGCGCCTCACCTCTCTCCCCGTCAAGAAGAGTGTTTCGGAGCGTCTCGCCTCGCTCTCCACGGAAGTTCGTACTTGGAGTTCGCAGGTGGAGGGGCAGGAAGCCGAGATTGGTCCGCACCGGTTCCAGTTACAGGAGCTTTATGGCCTGTCAAGCAAGCCTCCCGCTGTTGCACCAGCACCGCCCGAGGGAGAGGAGGAGGAAGCGCCGCAGATGGCCATGGTGGATGCGAGCAGTGGCTCCGAGTGTCTGATTTGTCTCTCGAGTCCGCCGACGACGTTGTTGCTGCCGTGTACGCACGGGCTGTGTCTCGAGTGTGCGGTGCAGCTGCGCGATTCGGTCGTCGGCATTCGTCAGAGCGAGAGGAGGAGGGGTAGGACGCCGCGTCGCAAGTATGCTTGTCCAGTGTGCAGGAGGGCCTATACGAGCATGCTGCACCTCAGCAAGGCCGACGAAAAATCCGCCGTCCACTCCACCGCCCCCTCGTAGCGCTGTAGCACTTAAGATGGAAAACTTTGATTCGGGTCACAGCGTGCTTCGTGGTCTTCTGGTACACTGGTCCCTGAGGTGTCCATCTTCGGCGGCCTTGCAGTAATCGCACAGCTTGGGACGATCGGGCCAATACACCTTGACCCAGGTTGCTTCGACCTGAACATACGGCGGCAAGCTCACCTGCGGTCTTTGAGGCTGTTTGCTTTTGAGTACGACGACGAACTAGGGTTGTTCGTCTCTCTCCCCGCTCTGGGGGATAAACTCCACGCTATGGGGGTATCCATTGGGCATGACCCACGCTGCCACAAGCTTTCCCATCTTGCCGAAGTTGGACCTGACCAATGCCGCGTGTACCTTTGGAAAAAATTCGGCGTGATTGTGCACGTACTCCTTTGGATACGTGAACTGGATGGGGAACCATGGATGTGGCACGAAAGCTGCATGCAACCAAGGCGTGAGCTTGACCTTCTTCCAGTGCAGGAGCGCGTTGCAAGCTCGATCGTGGTGTGACTTCGAGTAGAAGGTGATGTCGACAAACTTGTAGGGCGCGTGTGCGACCGTGGGGTAGGATATCGATGGCTCCAACCCACTTGGAAACGCGCTGATCTTGAACGCGTATCGCAGCTGGCCCAGCAGCGCCTCGCTACACTCTTGCCTCTCGTCTTGCTTGGGCGCAAGGCCAAACGCATATCGATGTGTGCCGAGTCTCGTCCACGTCTTGCGATCAAAAGTGGGCAGTTCCGCAACCTCAAATGGCAAATCTGCTACTTGAAAGTCCGAGGCGAGATGGAGTAGGTCGATTTGGAACTCTCGCATCCCCGGTGCGCGTGAGACGGTCGGCGGCGGCGTAGGAAGTCGCGAACTAGTCTCTACCCCAGCAGGGATGACGGAGGGTGTAGAGGGTAGCATCAGTGGAGCCGCCCGAGCCTTGCGTGGGATCGATGTGCCCATAAGTCGGTCTCGCCGCGCGCGAGCAGCAGAAGCCGCAACAGCAACATGCTTCTTGTCGCGCCGCGACACGCTTGGCTTGACATCAACAGCCTCCTCATCCGAACTATGTGTGAGGTCAATCACCTCCATCTGAGCGTCCTGCATCGTATCGTTGTGTAGGGAGAGAAGAAGCACAAGTCCAGAAGGTAACCTACTTATACCCGCAACTTTAACCTTCGAACAAAGGGGACCCGCACACACCCCCACCCGCCCTTTCATCCCACACACACGCAGCACTTGCATATTGCACTTGTCATTGGTCTAGGGCATCTTGGCCATGGGCATCAACCACCTATCCGCATCCCTAAACTGCGCCACCACCTCCTTGGAGATTGCATTCTCCGCATCCAGCGTATCCACCGCCACCATGACTGCGGTCCAAAACCTAAACGCCCTAGCCAACTCTGCGCTGACCTGCTTGACGTTCGTGAAAGTCTCGTCGAGCATGCCCAGAACGCTCTGTTTGGCCTCTACCACGTCTGGACTATCGACATTCTCGGCGACGATGGGTCCGTCATGGAAGGCGAGTAGACCGTCGAGGAAGCACTTGAGCACAATGCCCATGCCCGTGTTGACGTCGGTCTGGAAGGGCAGTGAGAGTGCAATGTCCAAATAATCGTCTCGACCACGGCGTGCATCGCCGCGCAGCAGTAGCGCCATGCTGATCATCTCGACCAAACCCCGCATCGATCTCGCAGTGGCCTTGACGAACGAGTTGAACACGAGCAGTTCCCTGCTCAACGGCGCCGTCCACTGTGCCGGCCTAAACGTCAAGGGCAGCAACGACACCGTGCGCATCACCAGCAACATGTGCCTCTTCTCCGCCTCGCTCCCAAACGACGGTCCACCCGAATAGCTGCGCCCCCCAAAGTAGTTCGCATGCAGCACTCCGCCTCGCAGCAGCTCCAGCGCGAGATACAGCGGCTCCTGCAGCTTATCGTTGAGCCTGGTCTGCTTGAGCGCCAAATACAGCGCACGCGCATACGGCGTATGCAGATGCGCATGGTTCAAAAACCCCCTCAACTCCAGCATCCTCCAGATCGCATTGGCCACAATCTCGTCCTTCTTCTCCAGCGTCGACAACGCCCCGTCAGGCATCTTGACCCTCGGCGTCTTGGTCCTGCTCGCCAACTGGTCCGACGTGGTCGCGCCCAGACACAGCGCAATATCGATCGTCGACGAGTTCTGCCTCCGCAGCTCCTCCTCGATGAACCGGTTCGACACGTTCCACTGGTTCACGCGGTTGATGAGCTGCAGCGTCTGCGCCGAATCATGCGGCACACCATGGTCCGCCGACGGCGCAAAGTAATAGATCGCCGACAACTTGCGCGATGACCAGAAACCGTTGAGTACCGATGCTGCCAGTGCTACCGCTACGCAGCGCGGCGACTGCGGCGTCTCGGTGAGCGTCTCGCGCACGTACCGCCGATAGTCCTCCGTCTCGCCATTGTCCAGAGGCGGCGCCTCGACCACGTGGCCCGACGTGAGGCTCGCCAGCACCTGCGCACCCACCAGGCCGCGCGATAGATGCACAAACACCTCGTCCGGCAGCCGATGCGAAAACACCTCGTGCAGGTCCACGGGCACGTCCGCCGCCGTCACAATGTGCGCGCCGCCATTGGCCGCGCCCACGGGTGCACCCCCCGCTGCTGGGCCCGCGCCGGCCAGTGCGACGTGCGCGGGCGCCGAAGCGACCGACGCAGGCGGCTGCGGCGGCTGCGGCGGCGCCGGCGTAGCGAGCGGCAGCGGCAGCACGCGCCCCTCCTCGGCCGACAGCACGAGGCAGAACTTGACCGTAGTCCTGGCCTTGCAAAACTGGTCGAGGTAGTTGATCTTTTGCACGGTGGGATGCGCCTCGAATGCGGCGACGAGCGAGTAGCCGCCCTTGTACTGCTTGACCAGCTCGTTGATCTGGCGCAAATTGGGCGGTGCACCTGCGTGCGGTGGCGGAGCGCCCAGACTCGAGTCCTGGAGCGCCGGGAAGGTGGCGCACAGGTCGCTGCCTGCAAGCAGACCGACGTCGAGGAACTGCTCCTCGTTGCACCTGAGCTCGTTGAGGATCGCCTGCTTGCTCACAAACTGGAACGTCGACTCGGCGAGGTTGAGCGAGGTGATGAGGCGATCGACGCGGTCAAAGAGCAGGATCTCGGACGCGCCGTAGATCGAGTGGACGTACGCCTTGGAGTGGCGTTCGAGCGACACCAGCTGTCCAGACGCGAGGTAGGGAGCGACAAGGAACTCGACGTTTCGATGTCGAAACGCGCGCAGGATGAGGCGGTAGAGGTCCGGATGGTGGAGCGAGTTGCTTGCGGAGAGGAGCGAGTGTGTGGCGTCGACGTCACCGTTCTCGTACGCCTCCCAGGCGCGGTGGCGCTGCTTGACCTTGGGGTCCTCGTAGGAGAAGGGGCGTGCGCGCTTGTTGGGCGGGATGCCGTTGAGCACGAATACGGGCTTGATGCGCGCCTTTTCGAGCGCACGCAGGTCGTTTTCGATGTGCGAGATGAGTGCGATGGGCGCGCCTCCGAGCGCTGCGACGAGCGGCTCGGATGTGGACGGCGACGAGAGCAACTGCTTGAGGTAGAAGGAGACGTCGATGCCCAGGCGCGTGTCCTTGAGCGCCGAGAGCGGACACGTCTGCGTGAGACCGCGGTCGTGGAGGTACGCCTGAAGACCGCGAATCATGGCGGGCGGCGAGGTGGTGCAACGGCTTTGCAAAGTGGTCGGGCTGGAGTGACGAAGAGCGCAGCGGTGGAGAGCGAAAGGGAAGGTCGACAAAGCAACACCTCCCCCTACAGCTTCCACGCTTCCACTCTTTCTCGCCCTCTCTGGCTCCTTTGCTCCTTCCCTCCTTCCCTTGGCCAACCGGCCGTGCGCACGCAGCCAGCAGAGTTCTAAATCGCATCTACACATCGCCGATCGATCGGCGGGCCATCTCGTGCGACTGGCATTTGTTTGCGGTCTAACACCGTTTTTGGAGCGCGAATCTCTCGGTGACTTGGTCGGCGTCAACGATGAGTGATGCTGTCGGCTCCCCCGCTCTCGTCACGCCCAGCCCATTTGCGCTCAAGCCAGCACCTCTTGTCGGCACGCATCGTCAGGATCTACCACCATTCACTTCGTCTCGGCACCATGTCCAACCGCATCCAGATCGCCATCGATCGAGGCGGCACCTTCACCGACTGCCTCGGCCGCATCCCACCCGCCAAGCAAGGCGACGCCCCCACCGACATTGTCATCAAGCTGCTCTCGCACGACCCGGCCAACTACAACGACGCACCCACCGAGGGAGTCCGTCGCATCCTCGAGCGCGCCTACAAGGTCTCCATCCCGCGCGGCCACAAGATCGACACCTCCAACATCGACTACATCCGCCTCTCCACCACCGTCGCCACCAATGCGCTGCTCGAGCGCAAGGGCGAGCGCCACGCGCTCATCATCACAAAGGGCTTCAAGGACTTGGTGCAAATCGGCAATCAGAGTAGACCCAGCATCTTCGATCTCGCCATCAAGAAGCCCGAGGTGCTCTACAGCGGCGTGCTGGAGCTCGACGAACGCGTCACGCTCGTCGGCTACACCTCGGACCCCAGCGCCGCCGACAACGCCGTCCAGTTCCACGAGGCCAACGGCGACGACCCGCACAGCACCCGAATCTCCAGGCCGTATGCAGGGACCGACCAGCCTCCGAGCGCGTACGACGAGCACGGCAAGCGCACGGGCGCGCCCGAGATCGTGCGCGGCGTCTCGGGCGAGGCAGTGGCCATCCTCAAGAAGCCCGACGAAGAATTGCTGCGACGCCAGCTGCACGCGCTCTACCACGACCACGGCTACCGCTCGCTCGCCGTCGTGCTCATGCACAGCTACACGTATCCGGTGCACGAACAGATCGTACGCCGCATCGCTCTCGACGTCGGCTTCCACACCGTCAGCTGCTCGAGCGAGCTCATGCCCATGATCAAGATGGTGCCGCGCGCCACCTCGGCCACCGCCGACGCCTACCTCACACCCGTGCTCCAGGCGTACATCGACGGCTTCTTTGCCGGCTTTGCCCCTACCCTCCGCTCCGGCCAGGCGGGCACCAAGGTCGAGTTTATGATGTCCGACGGCGGCCTCACCTCGGTCGACCACTTTTCGGGCCTCAAGTCGATCATCTCCGGTCCGGCTGGCGGCGTAGTCGGCATGGCGCTCACGAGCTATGACGCCGAGGATGGGCGACCCATCATCGGCTTCGATATGGGCGGTACGTCGACCGACGTCAGCCGGTATGCGGGCGAGTACGAGCAGGTGCTCGAGACCACGCTCGACGGCATCACCGTGCAGAGTGCGCAGCTCGACGTCAACACGGTTGCGAGCGGCGGGAGCAGTCGGCTCTTCTTCCGCAATGGCCTCTTTGCCGTAGGACCCGAGTCGGCATCGGCCCATCCGGGTCCGACGTGCTACCGCAAGGGCGGACCTCTCGCCATTACCGATGCGAACCTCGTCACGGGTCGCCTGGCGGTGGAGATGTTCCCCAAGATTTTTGGGCCGAACGAGGATCAAGGGCTGGACGAGACCGCGAGTCGGCAGGCGTTCGAAGCGCTTGCGGACGAGATCAACTCCCACACGGCCGGTTCGACGCTGTCGGTAGACGAGGTTGCGCAGGGCTTTATCCGCGTCGCCAACGAGATTATGGCGCGACCTATTCGGGCTCTCACCGAAGCGCGTGGGTATAGTGCGTCTAAGCATGTGCTTGCGAGTTTTGGCGGTGCAGGAGGGCAGCATGCATGTTCTCTCGCACGCTCACTCGGCATATCGACCGTGGTGATCCATCGGTACTCTTCGATCTTGAGTGCGTATGGTATGGCACTTGCCGACCGGGTGTTCGAACGCCAGGAACCGTGTTCCGAAATCTGGACTGGAGCTGAAGGTCCTTCGAGGGGACGGATCGAGAAACGGGTGGACCAGCTTCGTGATGCTGTGCGGGGGGAGTTGGAGGCGCAGGGCTTTGCGAAGGATCGGATTGAATTGGAAACGATGTTGAACCTGCGCTATGCGGGCACGGATACAGCGTTGATGACTTCCCAACCCCCCACTGGTGGATGGGAATTTGAACAAAGTTTCCAGCAACGCTATAAGCAGGAGTTCGGATTCGTCCTGTCCGATCGTGACATTGTCGTCGACGATATCCGCATCCGTGGCACAGGCAAATCCTTCGACACTTTGGGCAAAACAGTCCTAGCCGAATACCGTTCCTACCAAGCAGAGTGGAAACAAGTCGACACCAAACCTCTCGCAGTCAGGAAGGTCTTCTTCGATAGGCAAAGACTCGAAACCCCAGTTCTCCAACTCGACTCCATCCCCGCGGGCACACAAATCACAGGCCCCGCTATCCTAGTCGACACTACCCAAACCATCCTCGTCGAACCCAACTGCACCGCTCACACCACCAAAAACGCCGTCCTCATCCACATCCTCTACGACTAGCACACCCGCACCCAGCTCCCAAAATCCAAGGCCGTTTGAGCATAATGCAAAGTGCTGCTGTATGCATTCCAAAGTGTGCGGGCGGCTCAGTCTTCCAGCCGCGCCTTGAGCCGCGCCAGACGCTGCTCGAGTCCCAGCAGTGAGCCCTGCAGCGCATGGTGGCGCTGCCCTAGCCCCGTCATGAGGCTCACGTCTCCCGTACCGGGCGACTCGCTCGCCCCCATCGACGCCGCGCGCACTGCAAACGACCTCGGCAGCGTCTCGCCCATCCTCCGCCCGCCGCCCAGCTTGCCCGAGTCGTCGTCGGCGACCTTGGTGCCCACGCGGCGACTGCGGTGTGCGCCCCGCTGCGCCCGCTCGTGCGCGAGGCCCGCGTCGTCGCCCGCAGCGTCCTCGCTCGGCTCTTCGCACAGCGTCGACGGCGCAAAGCGGCTGCGGAAGCGGCCGAAGCCGCGCGTGCTCTTACCGCCGCCATCCTGGCTCGCCGGCCGCTCGATCGTCACGCGCTCGCGTTCTTTGAGCGAAAGCACGCTCGAGAAGCGCCGAATCGTGCGCCCGGGCAAGCTGCCACCGGGCGCCAGCGACCGCATCCGGCTCTCGACGTGGCCCAAGATGAAGTCGTCCTCTCCATCACCATCGGGCGGCGAGGTTGACAGCGCCGCGTTGCCGCTGCCGGCCGTATCCGGGCGCGAGGCCGGCGCGTCCGCGTCGGCTTTGGCGCGCTCGCTGAGCGACAGCATGCTCGTCGCGCGCCCCATGCCTTTGGCCTTGCGGTACTGCGAGAGCATCTCGCCGCTGTCCTTGCGGCGGATCGTCCGCGTGCCCCGTCCCGAATCGCGCGGCAGACCCTTGCCATCACCAGAGCCATCGCCACTGCCCGCTGCGTCCCTCGCGTCGCGCCACGGAGGGATGGCGCCCAGCACGGGCACGTACGCCATGGGGGCAAACGAGACCGACGTCTTGCCGAGGCTCGTCGAGAGGATCTCCCGGCTGCCGTCTGGCGTGCTCTTGCCCGATCGCTGCATGGACAGTGCTCGGGCGCGCGACGAGCCCACGCCGCGATCCGCACTCTGCTCGTACGAAACGTCGCGCGACGAGCCGGCCGAACGCACCGAATGGTCGCCCAGCAGCAGCGGCGGCGAGTCGCGCGCGCCCGCGGCTTCCAGCACCGCAGCCACCGAGGGCGCCGACGCAAACGCCTCGGTCAGAGGCGGGCTTTGCGCCCGCTTGGGCTTGGTCGGCGTGCCGCGTTCCTGCGCTCGGATGAGCAGCTGGCGCGCGCTCTTCTTGTGTCGCAGGTGTCGAGGTGCCGCGTGCCCATCGTCTGAGCCATCCGAGTCGTACATGTCGATGTCGAGCGCATACTGGTTCGGCATCAGCCCGCCCGCGCGCGGCGAGTCGTCCGGCACGAGTGCCGCTGGCAACGGCTCGGGTGACTCGGGAGCGACCACCTTGAATGTAGCGCGTGGCGCAACGAGCCTGGCTCCGTTGCCAGCCTGACGAGCGTCGCCTTGCGACTGTGCGACGGATCCGTGCTTCTCGTCCGATGAGCGGTGGTCGCCAAGCCCTGACCTTGCCGGGTGCAGCGCCTGACGCGGAGCCTCGAGAGGCTGCAGAGCGTTGCGCGATGCCCGCCGAGAGCCCGTGTTGTCTCCTGCTTTTTGGGGATGGACACGCCGGGACGGCAGTGTTGTGACAGGCTTGGACGCCGAAAGCTGCGGGTCGGTGGAAGAGCGCGGCAGGCCCGTGGGCTTGACAGCCGACGAGATTGGCGGTGTCGGAGGCACGACGGCAGCGGGTTGCTTCTTTCGAACGCTCTTCTGCACGGCAGCCATCATCTCGTCCCAGGCTTCGCGCTCCGAGATCTCGCGTACGGCATTGCTGCCGCCCGACTGACGGCTGTCCGAACCGACGCTTCCGCCGCCGGGGGTTGCCGAGCGCGCGCGTTCGAGGTCGCGCCGGTTGAGCACCGCCTTCCTGCCTCCGGTAAAGTGCGAGTTCTTGACAGCCGAGGCCATGGGGAAGGGATATGGCGACGATGGCACCGCGGGCGTATAGTTGGCCGAGGCATCTTCGGGGATGGGCGCCTCCTGACCTTGGAGCTGGCGGAATCGATCGTGGATGGCCATGTACGACGGCTTGCGAGCCGGCGTGACAAAATTTTGTGGATGCTGGAAGGGAAGCGCCGGGGGTCTCGGCTGCGAATGCTGATTTCGCGCTTCGGCGCCCGCGGGCTCGACAGCAGCAACGGGGCTGGGCGCAAACGACGGCGGCGTCGGGAGCGTGGTGAGTGAATGCGATGCTTGCGAGCTGCCTCGATGGAATGGCGTGGACGCGATGGGGGTGCTGGTGGGCCAGATGCTCGGAGAAGCGCCCGTCTTGTGAGCAAGGTCGTCAAAGCTGGCAGCGGTCGACAAATCGCCAGTCGATACTGCAGGGGCTGCGTCTGCCGGAGGCAAAAAAGCGTCTCTGTGTGGCAAGTAGCTGAAACCGACAAAAGTGGTGTCGCAATCGGACCAGCGCGGAGCCGAGCGCGAGATGCATGGCGAGATAGCACCTGCGAGCGACGAGTTTGCGTCGCGGAGCATTGCGCTTGGGGATGAAGAGGCGTTGAGCACGACGGCGGGCGAGGAGGAAGACCTGGTCATGCCAGCTGTCAGCGACAGGTCGCTGGAAGGCGGCGGCACATTATTCGCTGCTTGCGTCTCGTCGTCTCTGAGATGGCTTGAGCAATCTGGCTCACCCTCCTGAGAAATGCCAGCGTCCGGTCCCCACCAGTCCTGTTTGTGTCCGACCGAGTCTGCCTCAAATTCCCGTGAGTCTGCAAAGGCGGGAAAGTCGTCCGGATTGCCCGCGTAGAGGGCGGAGAAGGAGGGTAAGCTGGACACGACGGACATGGAGCTGTCTTTGAAGTGGGCAGCAATGCCAGTGGGCGCGGGATTGGCATTTTGGCCTGCGAGACCGTCGCGCGTGGTCGACCGCTGGTCCGATGCGGGATCTCCCGGAGCATTGGGGGTGAAAGGGGCGTCGAGCGGCCAGTGCTTGGACCAGTCGATGCGCTCGGCAGCATAGAATGCATGCTGCTGGACTTGTTGTGCCGAGTCGCGGCCGAGACGACGTGCTGCTTCTGTGACGAGGCCGCGGATGAGCAGTGTGAGCTGGGTGGAACATGCGACGGAAGCATCGAATCGGAGCGAGGTCGAGTGTGCCTTGATCTTTTCGTAGGTCTCCTCCATCTTGTCGGCGAAGAAGGGTAGGACGCCGAAGCGCATCTCGTAGAGCATCACGCCGAAGCTCCACCAGTCGACTTGTGGGCCGTACAAGCCGGGCGTGCACTCGGGTTGTGAGCCGGAACCAGCCTGTGATGATGGATTGGTGCGACGTTGGACGCCGAGGAAGTCGTCAAGATTGGACAAGTCGTACTGCTGCTGACGCTGGAGGACGCGTGTTTCCTCGGCTTCGAGCACCTCGGGCGATAGGTAGTCGCACGTGCCTGTGGGCTGAGAGCAGTAGAAGGCCCACACCTTGCGGTCTGGCTTGGATGACGTGCTGGCAGTGTGGGCTTGGGAGGCAAAGTCGCTGAAGGGCGCGGCGCTGGAAAAGTCGCACAGCTTCAGATGGCCGCTGCGGTCGAGGAGAAAGTTGCCGGGCTTGATGTCGCGGTGGGCAAAGCCCTGAGCATGGACCCAAGCGATGGCCTGCACCATGTCGACGCTGTAGCGGAGGATCCAGTCTTCGTTGAGAAGGCCGGTGGGAGCGCGGCCGGGATAGTCGGGGCCGCAGCTGCTTGCAGCCATAAGAAGCTCGCTGAAGTCGCCGCTGGGTACATACTCCATGAGCACATGGACGGAATTTTGCGTCTGAAACGCGGCGAGCAGCTGTGGCGTGAGCAGCTGGTGGTGTTGATGCGACTCGAGTGAGGAGTGGGGCTGGCGCTGTAGCAGCTTGGACTCGTTGATGGGAGTCTGAATGGCGGCATTGCGACGGGCAAAGCCCTTGACGAGCGACTTGAGCACGTAGACACGGCCATCGAGGCGGCTCTTTACGACTTCGACAAGGCTTCCTGCGCTCTTCTGGAGCACCTTGATAGACTTGAAGTCTTGTACCTGCAAGCTGAGCGAGCGTAGGTCTCTGAGAGTGGGAGCGGCTGCAATCCGGAAGGGGTTTGGGTCGGTGCTCGCTGCAAGACCGTCGGCAGACCACGAGATGACGAGGCTGATGTCGAGGAATCGACCCAAGGTGGCGGCGGAAGAGGCATGGACATGACTCGAGCTGCTAGGGTCGGCCTGTGATGCATCTGATGCATCTGATATTGAGCGAATGTTGTCGAGATTGTTCAGGCTGAACTGGAAGTCGCGCAGAGCTGCCTTGACGGAGCGTGTTTGCAAGATGTGACGAATGGAGTCGTGCCGTTGCTGCCAACAGGGCGAGTCGGGCGCCATGGTGAGTGTGATGCGATGAGAAGCAGCTGCGCCTTGAGCATACGCAGTTGCAGATTGGCAGATTGGCTGCTGCCGGTGTGCGCTGTCGGCTTAGCCGCAACGTGAGATCGAGTGTGGGTGCTGGGCGATGCTATGTCGACATGGCTCTTGAGCATGTGGTGGTGGGAGTGCGGATGAGCCGACGTAGACGCAGTGCAGATGGGCTTGTCGGGATCGCCGACCAAGACGGACTGCTGGTGATGAGAGTGTGGAGAAGAGACGACGAGAGTGCAGTTGGCGAGTGGGAAAGCGACTGCTGTAACTCGCTCGCCTCGGTCTCGGCTTGGTGCGGTGGAGGCTTGCAGCTGTCTAAGCTCCAACCTGCATCCCACTCGAGCTGTGCTTTCGTGCTGTGCTTTTGGACGTGCTGGCAGTCTGAACTGGATCAAGCAGTCCGGAAGCAGTCCGATGTGTAGCGCTTAACTTCAGCCACAAGCTGTGTTGCATCATTCGGACGCTTCGATGGAGAATGTTTGTTGCGACTCGCCCTGTCGGACTGTCGGCAAATTGTGTTTGGCGGCCTTTTGTGTTTTGGTGTTGGTCTTCTGCGCTCCACATTTTGATTGACGGCCCGCGTGTTGCTCTCTCTCGATGCGATGCCTCGCTGGCCGCCGCCAAGCTCACTCGGACGCTTCGCATGCTGCATGAGCCCGACAGGAACACAAGACCATGCCATTGCCTTCCCTCCCGCTCCCACACGCTGTACCTTTCGCTCGACCTCCAACCACTGTCTCGCTCGACAGTGCCGACAGCCGAGCTTTTGTCATTCTAGCGCTGCAACCGCACGCGACCCAAGGGGCTCGACCGACTCGGCCTTGTGCTAAAATCAGAGGATGAGAACGCAGGCTGCGGTAACAATAGCTTGTGCTGCAGGCGGCAGTGTTTGTGGGACGTATAAAGAAGGCAAGTGCGCATTCGGAGCTTGGAAACGGTGATACGAGGTATGCATTCGGCAGCGGCGTTGTGTCGGCCTTGCGGCTCTGCCAGCTCTGCCAGCATGCAGCATCTCGGCTTCCGGTAAGCGACGAGCGTGCTGCCAGCCCGGCTATCCACCCTCGCTTTCGGCGAGCACTCATTCATCCAGATTCCAGTACACTTCCCTCGGCCATCGTTTCCGGGGGAGGCTTGGCAAGTCACTGTACTTTATCCTGTCTTCGCCTCCCGGTGCTGCAGGTCCATGCATGCTCGGTATCATCTGCCTCAACGCTCAAAGAGTCGCACGACGCGCGCTGGACTCCGCACGTGATTTTGACCTCGGCCTTTTTTCGACAGCATTTTTCGGGATCATTTTTTCCCTTCTCTTTTTCCCTGCACTCGCAGACACAATTCAGCCTGGGGTGCAAAGAAAAAAAAAGAGAACTGCAGCACCTAGGATTCCCGCGTGGTCCCCCACCGCAGTACTGACTAGGCGATACCTTGCTTAACTTCGCAGATCGGACGGGATGCGGTG